AACTGATTGTGCTGGTCCCAGCCAGGTGGCCACGGCTCCCACAGGCCAACAGTGCTCTCCCCCCTGCGAGGCAGACGGCATTCAGTTCCGGCTCTGGGTTGTTTTAACCGCCTGGTTTGTGCCTCGGCTGGTTGGGCCTGCATCGGGACCAAAGTGAGCACTGTGGGTGTTTGTAAAGAGGAGTGAGCACTAGGGGGACACAAACGCACACAAAAGACTAGCCAGCAGGGGGCAGGAGCGTGCACGGCGCAGTACGGACACATGCACACCTCTGCAGCCAGCAGGGGGATCTGCATGCACAGCCGCCTAGCCAGAAGGGAGCAGTGTGGACCCACAGAGAGCCAGCAGGGGGCAGTAGGAATACACCCAACTATTTTCCCCTAAGTGTGAAAACCAAAGTGTCTTCCGGGCCAAATCCTTGCTTCAGCCAAACTCTCCTTGAAGCAGGCCTGCTGCCCCCGCTCTGCTGGGATGGGGAAAGCCATTGTCCTGGTGCAGAGCCGCGAGCCCCGCCGCATCTGTCCCCGTTGAGCTGTATGGAGCCTGGCTCAGATCGCTAGACCCAGGGGTCAGGTTCAGTCTTTGGATTCTGGCGCATTGAGATGCTGAGCTGTGGCAGCCACACCATCCCTGTTGTGCCTTCGCTCGGGTGTCCCCGGGCAGAAACCCAGCTCCACACAGGTCCCTCTTAAACCTGCGTGAGATGTTGGCCAGGGGTTGTATTCCCAGTTCTGCTACAAACTCCTAGTGGGTGATTGTGGTCTAGCCACTTAATCTGCCCTGTGCCTCATTTTCCCCCATGGGGATTGTGGACTCTTTGGGGCAGGGTGTGTAGCTTGCTCTGGGCACGGCATACAGCTCAATGTTCCCGGGTGCTACTGTAATTAATCTAATATAAACCGAAACGACAGCTCTGGTGAGGGGAAGCTGGTGCTGTTTAGCCTCCATGCCCTCAAATGTCTAGGAAGTGGATGTTGCTTTCTCTGCAAGGGAACCACAGATGTGTCCTCAACACACACATAAGAGTTGACCCCAGAGTGTGCTGGAAATGTCAAGGCAGCCACACGTCCGTCTCTTTCCGAGGCCTAAATGCACCTTAAATTCAGAAAATTTCCCCATAAAAATTGCAGTGGGACAGTTGGGTAGAACTGTGTTTTTTTTAAAGTATTTGTATCAGATCAACATTGAAACCACCGGCTCAATGTCCGTTTAAACCAGATGGGAATCTGGCCCCATTGACCCCAGTGGAACGATGCCCCGTTTAAATTAGGTGGATCTCCAGCTCTTTATCTCTACAGAGTGGCAACTGGTCCAGATTACTCCAGAATGATTTCCCCCCCTCCCTACGCCCATAAAACCTGTAACTCAAAACCACCCCTCAGTTTCTTCCCAGTTTTCCCTGGAGCTGAGTTGCTGTGAGATTCTAGTTGATCTCTCTGACCAATTCAAGATGCAAAATAAATTTGCTTAAATATTGCACGTAAAATCCCTCCAGACGTAGCAATCCTGGGTTGTGACTTGGATGAAACTTCTTGGAGTGTTTGAATCGCTGCTCGTTTTCCTTGAAATTGACAAGGGGAAATCATATACCTGTGTGTGTATGTTTCCTTTCCCTAAAAGAGGAAATCAGGAAGAGGGGGGCAATAAAACGAGACTAATGAAATAAATATTGGCTCCTTAGAAAAGCGGTACAACTATTTCTGGTTTTTTTGCCATGAGTTTTTCTGCTTCATTTCTAAAGCTGGATTGCACAAGGAGATTTTAAATTGGAGCAGCAGGTAGTTAAAGAGACTCTGGTATTTAATATCGAGCCTTCCAGATGGAGCCATTTAGCTACATGTTTCTACAAATTATTTCACAGCCCACCATTTGGGGAGAAAAAAAATCTCTCTGGGGTTATTACCACCTCTACCGCCTGTAATGTATGAGCCTGCATGGTTTCGTCCATTTGAGATTCAACTTTTTTCTCCTCTGCTAGGGGCAATGCTAGCCTTGGGCAATCTGTCCAAGATATCATGGCCAGTTTTCAAATGCTGTTAATTTCCTTCTCGTGTAGGTTTTTTTTTTAAAAGGCCAGAAGGCACCGTTCTGCCCTTCTGTATACAGCTAGCTAAGCGAGAGCCAATCTTTAGCAAGAGGCACCTGGTCTTGATCTAAAGATTCTGAGAGACAGAATCTGCCCGATCGCTTGGGGAACCTCTCCAGGGGTTAGCTCCTTGCCCCATTACAAACTTGCTGCCCGCTCCCTGTTTCCAGTCCGAATGCGTCTTGCTTCAACTCCCTCCTGCTAGATCTTGTTCTGCCTTTGCTCAGTTATAAAGCCCTCTGCTCTCAACAAACTCCTCCCCGTGGAGGCCTGACTGCCCTTTTTGACTCAAGCAGCCGGTCAAAGCTGGGGCCCTGCAATTGGGCAGAGAAATTGACGATAGAATCTGGCACCTTTGAGGCAATCTTGTTTATTTGCAAGAGGCCGTACAAAGTCCTGTTTCTCTGAACACAGTCGGACCCCAAAAACGGGAGGTCGCTTCCTTCGCTGCAGCAGCACACATCCTGGGTATGTGTCTCTCTCTCTCTCCTTGGGCCGTGCCCCCAAGACTCTTACCCCGAAACCTATACTCTGTCAAACTCCCCTCCACCGAAGGCTCTCGAATTCCTGAGCGGCTGTGGTTTGCCGTGGTCTTGGAGCGTGCTGTTGTATCTTACACTGAACCTGAAGGAAGGGCAGCGGTTAGCTCATCAGTTTCAGGGGTTTTAACTGTACTTCTAGCCCGACATCACGTCGTCGCCTCGGTTAATGAAATCAGCTGAGCTTCCCCAGCCCTCAGATTGTTCTTGTAGCTTCTCTGCGTTCATGGACCGGACTCTGATCTCACTGCCGCCTGGTTTATGTCAGAGGGGGCACCAGACTGGAGCTGAGCCGGGGCCCGTCTCGCCCGGTATCCCGGCTCTGGGGGTGGCCAGTGCCAGGTGCTGCAGAGCAAAGTGTAAGAACCCCGCAGGGGCAGATGGGAGATTAGCTCCCCCCTCTCCGCCACATTAGGTCTCTGTCTCATCTCTAATAGTCCGAGATCGTCTTAAGCCCTGAAGCATGGGGTTCTGTCTCCCTCAGCATGGTTGTAAATTGAGCCACTCCCCCGGGGTATTATTATTATTGTCTGCATCAGAGTAGCACCTAGGACCAGGACACCCCCTCCCTCCATGCCAAACACTGCGTGTTTTCACTGCTATTAGGTGTATTACGGTAGCACTCAGGCACCCCAGTCATGGCCCAGATCCCATTGCACCAGAAGCTGTATGTTTTTATTAGTATTAGTTATATTACGGTAGCACCCAGGAGCCCAGTCATAGTCCAGGACCCCCACTGTGCCAGGTGCTGTACATTTGTTTGGCTATTAGGTGTATTACAGTAACACTCAGGTGCCCAGTCATGGCCCAGGACTGCATTGTGCCAGGTGCTGTACGTTTGGCTATTAGGTATATTACGGTAAGAGGTGCCCAGTCATGGCCCAGGACCGCGTTGTGCCCGGTGCTGTATATTTTTATTGCTATTAGGTGTATTACGGTAACACTCAGGCACACAGTCATGGCCCAGGACTGCATTGTGCCAGGTGCTGTATATTTTTATTGCTATTAGGTGTATTACGGTAGCACCTAGTTGCCTAGTCATGGCCCAAGTCACTGTTGTGTCAGGTGCTGTACAGACACAGAACTGTCCTAATTCCAGTGTCTTCCTGGGGGGGGGGGGGTTGTCCCGCTGCAGAGGGGTGAATCTCAGCCCCAGGGAGGAATTGTGGTGGAGGTGGCCCTTCCTTCCCCTCCCACCCCCCAATGGGAACCCCCCCCACACACACACACCTGCTTTGCCCTGCTTTGTAGCTGGGCCACATGGTACATATTTTTCCAACCTCGTCTCCCCGGCACCGCTTCCATCTCTGCCACCCCTTGGCCAGTTCTTTCCTGGTGTCGTTTCCTGCCTGTCCTCAGAGCCATCCAGCAAATCAACCGATTTATTTGCTGTCGCCCCAGATAACACCCCCACCCCCACCCCTGCAAATGGAAAAGCAGCAAGATGCAGCCTATGCCTAGTGCGGCGCTCAGACCGGTGGGTTGGCGGCCAGCTTGCTGGCCTTCTCTTCCCAAGTCTGGGCAGGAATGCGGTCTGATGGTTAGGGAGGGAGCCAGGACTCCTGGGTTCCACTCCCAGGTCTGGGTCGGTGTGTGATCTAACAGAGAGAGCAAGGGGGCCAGGACTCCTGGGTTCCTGTCCTAGTTCTAGGAGAAAGTGAAGATCAGCGGTTAGCAGAGGGAGGCCAGGACTCCTGGGTTCCATTCTCAGCTGTGCCACCCCCTCCTGAGGCAGGGCCCTCCTAGACCCACGCCACCCCCTGAGCCGTGGCGAGGAGAGGGAGGATCACACGGGAGGTCGGTGGACATCTGAGTGTGACCGGCGGGACGGGGGCGAGTGGTAGGTGCCGAGGGCTGTGAGATTGAGAAGGGATGAGGGCTCCAGGGATCAGACTATCCAGGTATTCGTACGCTCCTGCTCTGCCCATCACCATGGCCTCTGAGCCCCGCCCAAGCGCTAATGGATTGCTCCTGACAACCTCGCCCATCCCTTGGATTTCCCCAGTGCCCTCCAATCCAGCAGAGCGTGGCCTAGTGGTGAGAGCATAGCAGCAGGGGCCAGAATGCCTGGGTTCTTTTAGCTAGATCTAGTGGTAGAGCAGGGGGCTGGGAGCCAGGACTCCTGGGTTCTTTGTAAGCTCTGGGTGGGCAGTGGCGTCTAGTGGTTAGAGCGGGGCGGGGGTTGGGAGCAGGTTTCATGGCCTCTACCCCTAACTGTGCGAAAGGCGTGTGTTGTTTCCCGTCAGTGATTAGAGCAGAAGGGACCGGGCGCCAGGATCAGGCCTCGGGTACCGTCGTCTCCGTCCAAATTGTGGGAGAGCCACTCGCGACCGAAAATGAATGTTTACACTTTCCTCCG